TATCTAGGTTAAAATTTTCAACACTTTGTGGTCATATGATACAATGTTTTTTGTCTGAGCTTGGTTGGTCCATACGTCATGACCTCGAGCCGAATATTTTCCCGTCCGGCCCCTCCCACTCAGTCCGTAATAAGTACATGTCAGTTTTTTGTCATGCAGCAGAGCGGGCCGGAATACTAAATACTGGGATTTGACTCAATCAAATCACGCGCTCGTGACCAGTCGAGTTTTCAACGATACTGTCCACGGGCCAGAATTTTTCCTCGCTGTCGCTATTACGGCTAACTAAAAGTGTTGCGAAGTTAGTTATAAGCATCCTCGCGTTGCAAAAATATGCAACCGAAAAATAACTGTTAAGGGAAATGCTTTCGGATAAAAGCGCTGAAAGTCATGTTAGCACCCGGGAAGTTACGTCATGTCCTTTAGTACTATCTTTTTGCCCCGCATGAAAGGTACTGATTGTACTAAAAAAAAAGTTATTTACTGCATTTTCAACTTTTAAGATCTCTCGCTAAGGAATGAAATCCAACTGATGTTTTGCCATAGTTTAAGTGGTTGAAAAATCTTCCCTTTGTTATTGTTCAGTCGGTAAACTGCCGGGTCAAATTAGTGAACATGGTAAACATATAGTCATACTCTGTTCTTCGTTCAGTTTCAGTTCATGGTATGGTGAAGGGCTAATTTACTTATTCTTTGACCTTTTTCAGAAATACGAAGTAATTCAAAATGGAGAAATTCCCCATAACTTGCTCGGTAGCAGACTGTTTATTCAACAATCATCTACATAACAATGCTATGGATATCTCCAACGAGGCCCAAGTCTTATCGAGAGGAAGTAAAGTTGAAAATCGTAGTGACTCTGAAATTTCGTTTAATTTTATAGAAGTGATGCCTTCAGACCTTTATTTATTAAGTGAGAGATTGGAACGCGCCCGACGACCTCAAATCAGTGAAGAACATGGTTGGAATAGTGAAGCATTGGAAAGCGACCAACGACCCTTGCAAATCAACGAAGAATGTGGCGGGAAAAGCGACTCGGAAGTAACAGCATACAAAATAATCATTTTAAAGCACCATCTCTTTCATCAACACACTTCGGTTATTTTTTTTTCGAGACAACTACTTCAAATTGCAAAAGAAAATGGGGACAAACAGTCGGAGCTACAAGCCTATTTAGCAATGGGCTATTCTTATTACGTACTGGGGAAACCGGATGCATCCATAGAGTGGCGAAATAACGCACTGGAAATTTGCAGAGAGATGGGTAACAAAAACCTTGAAGGCCAAATACTTCGTGAGCTTGGTAGCGCATACAAAGACCTTGCTAATTACTCAGAGGCAATCAGATGTCTAGAGGAGTCTCTGGAAATATCTAACAAACTAAGCAAATTTAAAGTAAAGGGAGAATCATACCAAGGTCTTGGAATGACGTATCATGCCAAGGGGGATTATGACAAAGCACTAGAATGTCATTTCAATTCATTAGAACTGATGACAGAACACGGTGATGAGGAGGATGTAGGTGTTTCCTTCCAAAACATTGGCACTACTTATACTGCGATCTCCAAGAACTGTGAAGCACTGGATTATTTCAAAAGGTCACTTAAAATTACGAAAAAATGTGGAATAAAAACAACAGCTGAAATGCATCACAACCTTGGCGTTTGTTATTCCTCGTTTGGTCAGTATGCAAAAGCCATCGAACACCAAGTTCAAGCTGTAAACAACCTCGAGAAAACTGGAAAAAATTTGAAAATAGGTCGAGCCACCACTTTACTGGGAAACTTATACATTGCAATCGGCAACATAAAGGAGGCGATGAATAGTTTTCAGAAAGCCATTAAGTGTAGTGAGACTACTGGGGACAGGAGAATTGAAGCAAACGCCTACCGTGGTCTCGGTGTTTGTCTAGCAAGCTTTGATCAAGGGGAAGAATATTTACAAAAAGCCCTTAACATCACGAAGGAAACTGGGGATAAAATCCAAAAGGCCATGAGTTACTCAGGCCTCGGTTTCTGCTGCATGAGTTGCGGTCGATTTACAGAATCTTTAGACAACTTTGAAATAGCAATTTCTATCATGCGAGAAATCGGAGCTGAAAGTGAATTATCAGGAACCTTGATCAATGCTGGATCTGCCTACCGAGCTCTTGGAAAGCTGAAGAAAGCAAAGGAGCTCCATGAGAAAGCCCTCGAGATAACAAGAAAAATTGGAGACAAAGGAAAAGAACAGGAGGCTCTCCACTCCTTAGGGATCTGTTACAGGGAGCTTGGAGAGTTAAAGAGGGCGCATGATTGCTTTTCTGAAAGCATTACTTGTGCTGAAAAGAATCGCAAACTATTTAAGGACGAACATAAACTTTCTCTGGACAACATTACTTTTGTTAGCTATGACAGTTTATGTTCGCTTAGGATTAGTCAAGGGAATTTTTCTGAGGCGTTGTGTGCCGCAGAGCGAGGACGTGCACGAGCTCTTGGAGACTTACTGTCCGTGAAATATGGTCTCCAAAGAAACAAATCACATGAATTATACCTGGAAAGTATCAGCAACCTTTGCATCAAGAACCAAAGTACGATCATCTTCATGGCCAAGCCTCTTAAAGATAAAAACATTCATATCTGGGTTTTGCAGGGGGGAGAAATTCAACTTCAGCCGTCCAACATTGAATTAAGAGAAACTAGCATCAAAGTTTCTTTGAATTTATCACAAAATCAACCAAGGGTCGTATGCGAAGATCGCTCACTGTCAGCATATTATAGAATGCAGCCATCTCCTCAAGAAACGAAAGAAAATCGTGAGCAGCGTCGTTTGGAAGAGGCAGATGAGGAAGAAAAGGACGATTCAAACCTCTATGAGTTATATAAGAATTGTTTTGCTCCTGTCGCTGATCTTGTTCAATGCAGAGACGTGATTATCGCCCCACAAGGCGATTTATTTATGGTGCCATTTTGCGCATTACGTAATAACAACGACAAATTCCTGTCAGAGACCTTCCGAATCCGCTTGATTCCATCACTGACAGCACTAAGGATGATCCAGGATAGTCCTACAGACTATCACTGTGCAACTGGGGCACTGATTGTAGGTAATCCTTCTGTTCCTTCAAGAACTAAGTTGCCATCATTGCCAGGAGCTAGGAGAGAGGCAATGGAAATTGCAGGGTTGTTAGGTGTGTCGGCTACTTTAGGAGATGAAGCCACCAAACGAAACGTCCTCCGACGGATTCAGGACGTCAGCTTGATTCACATTGCTGCCCATGGTGATGCAGAAAGAGGAGAAATCGCTCTTGCCTCGAATTGTCCTTTTCAATCTAGATTAAGGCTAAGGAAGGAAGACTTCATGCTTACCATGGAAGACGTCGCAAAAGTTGGTATCCGAGCCAAGCTGGTTGTACTCAGCTGTTGTCACAGTGGTAAGGGACAGATTATGAAATCTGAGGGAGTTGTGGGTATCTCTCGCGCGTTTTTGGCAGCCGGAGCTCGCTCAGTGCTGGTTTCCCTCTGGGCCGTGGATGATCTCGCCACGAAAGAGTTCATGATTCGTTTCTACGGACATCTGAAGCGTGATAAACTGAGTGCCAGTGAAGCTCTTCAGCACACCATAAAGTGGATGAGAGAATCCAAGAGATTCAGAGTGAAGGACTGGGCAGCATTTGTTTTGATCGGAGATGACGTTACTCTGGACTTCTAAAACATGTTATACCATTGAACTGCGCCACAAAGCAGTCATTGACCACCTGTTATGGCTTTTTCGATCTTACTGATCGTGTACAAAGGTCTTATCAGTTCATCATTTTTAAACTTGACTGATCGGCGATGACGTCACTCTGGACTTAGGACAAGCCGTAACTCTGTAGGGAACAACAAAGTAGTCATAATCAGGTCCATAGTTTTGTTTGTGGATGGCTTACATAGGCCTTGATAACATTTCAGTTTGTGGATGTTCAGATTTATTAACTCAGTGAACAGTGAGACTAAGTAAAATAAAAATACAAGTCAGCTTAAGTGTAGGTCTGTGGACGAAAACATCACGGTACCTCTTTAAACGTATCATTAAGAGTTAAATAAAGGTAAAATTAAATAAATAATGTTTTCACTTATCTGTTAAGACTGAGTTGGTATCGATTTCACATCGAGGACTCAATAAAAACAGGCATCTTCATTTGTCTTTCAACGTTTTACAATTTTATTTGCACTGTTGGCGCACCTATCCTGTAAGGCTGCTACCTTAGCGGGACTTTCACTTGAAGGAGAGGTTTGATAAGGATGAGCTGCATGGACGTTTGAAATAATAACATTCTATTTTTATTCGGAATCGCCTTGGGTTAAAACCCAAGGCGATTCCAAAAATCTTCGTGAAGGGCATTATGACATCGCATTAAGTGAAAAATTGTGTTAGAAATCATTGAACTGCTATGTCGATCTTAATTTTGTTTCACTGAAATTAGCCCACGCATTTTAAGGACAACAGCCAAGTGATCTCCACAAGCGTGACGTTAACCACCCGTTTGTGTAACACTACCAACTCTCCTGATGTGTCACGTGCGCAGTGATGTTATGATAAAAAATGATCGCAAATTGTCAGCGATGGAATCCGGTTGATTCCATCATTGACAACACTAAGGATGATCCATGACAATCCTACAGACTATTACTGTTTAACCGGGGCACTGACTGTGGGTAATCCGGTCTTCTGTTCCTCCACGAACAAAGTTGCCATCATTGTCAGGAGCGACAAGTGAGGCAATGGAAATTGCAGAGTTGTTAGGTGTATCGCCTACTTTAGGAGATGAAGGCACCAAAGGAAACGTCCTCCGACGGATTCAGGAAATCAGTTTTATACACATTGCTGCCCACGGCGATGCAGAAAGAGGAGGGATCGCTCTTGCCTCAGATTGTCCTTTTAGATCTAGAGTAATTCTAAGGAAGGAAGACTTCATGCTCACTATGAATAACGTCGCAAAAGTTGGTATCCGAGCCAAGCTGGTTGTACTCAGCTGTTGGCACAGCTATAAGGGACAGATTATGAAATCTGAGGGAGTTGTGGGTATCTCTCGCGCCTTTTTGGCAGCAGGAGCTCGCTCAGTGCTGGTTTCCCTGTGGGCCGTGGATGATCTCGCCACCAAAGAGTTCATGATTCGTTTCTACGGACATCTGAGGCGTAATAAATTGAGTGCCAGTGGAGCTCTTCACCAGGCCATGAAATGGATGAGAGAATCCAAGAGATACAGAGTGAAGGACTGGGCAGCATTTGTTTTGGTCGGAGATGACATTACTCTGGACTTCTAAAACATGTTATACCATTGAATTGCGCCACAAACAATCANCAAATCGGAAATATGATTCAAATTGTCCGCCATTTGTTTTTTTTTTTCGTAACTACAATCCAATTCTTCGCTTGCGCGATGCGAGAAAACCTGTTTAACTGGTACTCTACAATAGACGAGTACAAATACTGCGTGATATTTGTACTCGTCTATGGCGTTATTTGTACTCGTCTAGGTGTAGTTGGATAATAATTAGATTTATTAACTGAATGAACACTGAGAAACCTTCAACTGGTCATGACTTTGATCAAACTCCACTTTTTAAGAAATTGTAACCCAGTAGCTGGGAAATATGGAAAGTCTTGTTGCATGCAATTATCCACAATGTCGCTCGAAAAGTGTCTTAGCTCTTTTAGAAATATCACCATTTCGTGGCAAAAAATGCTTGAAGTGACGTTTTCTGCCCTAATTTTTTAATCGAAACATATTTTTTGAGAGAAATAAAATGAAAGTACAAGTCAGCTTAACTGTAGGCCTGTGGAAGAAAACATATTATGTATTTAAATTTATCATTTAGAGTTAAATAAAGGTAAAGTTAAATAAATCATGTTTTCCCTTATCTTTTAAGACTGAGCTTGTATCGGTTTCACATCGACGACTTACAGGCATCTTCATTTGCCTTCCAACAATTTACAATTTTTATTTGCACTGTTAACGCACCTTTCCTAAGGCTACTACTAACCTTCTGGGAATTTCATTTGAAGGAGATGTTCGATGAACATGAGCTGCATGAACGTTTGAAATATTAACATTTTATTTTTATCTGGAATCGCCTTGGGTTAAAACTCAAGACGATCCCAAATATCTTTGTTAAGGGTATTCAGACATCGCATCAAGTGAAACATTGTGTTAGAAATCATTGAACTGCTGTGTCGATCTTATTTTTTTTTCTCTGAAAGTTAGCTCAGGCTTTTACAATCGAAAACCAGTTGATCTCCACGAGCGTGACATTCACCCCCCGTTTGTGTTACACTACAAACTCCCCTGATGCGTCACGTGCGCAATGATGTCATGATAAAAAATTATCGCAAAGCTTTTAAAACAGGCTATTGTTAATGTTGTTTCTTGAAGTAAAAAGTATGCAAAGTTGCTCGACGATAACCGGGTTCAACATCAAAAGGAGGCCACCATAGCAGCGGACATCTTAAGTGGGACAACCAATAAGTCTTGAAAGGTATGTAGGCAACGAAATTTGTTTTTGCAGCATTTTCAGTAGCGTTTGAAAATCGAGCACAGATGCTCTTTGCAGTCAGACCGAAAGCCGGAAGTCAGCGAAAACATTCAAGGTAGTGCAATTCTGGACGGATTGAATCAGAGAAAATGTTTTTCGTTTTTTTCCGAAGTGAAGTTATTCTTTATCCTTAGCTTTGACTGTCGACCAGGAAATACTGAAATAACCTTTTAATTTGATTCAAATCTGTTTTGATTATCAGCACTTCACTTGTTCGTATTTCATCTTCATCTTCTTTCGTCTTCAGTAAATTGAGATTCGCAAATGTTCGTTTTATCCTCTTTAAATAGACATTTTGGGAACTGGCGTTACTTAACAAAGCAGAGAGTAGCCAACTTATACGAAAACTGCCATCATGATGGCAATCTGTCAAATTGATCAGTGGTCAAACAATCACTGCTGAAAAACTACATCTTATATCTGGGCAGGGTGTCTGGGATGAGGAAAGACCCTGCAAAAATTCTTCAGTTTTGGAGAGTCGCGTCAGTCTACTAAATCTTTCTAAGGTGGACGTCCTCGGGTTAAAAAAAAATTCCAATTCACACACGATTTATCTTGCGTGGCTTTCCTTCGCCCCTTTTCTCAATCGACTACGCAATATTTGCGTTATCAGAAGCGTTACACGATCTCGTGAGGATTACTTTGCGTTTAGGTCACCTACGTTGTTATGTGTTTAAGTATGTACTGAGAGAGCCCCAAAAGATACGAGACTGAAGAGCATGTCGGCCTTTTCTTTGGTTGAAAGAA